GTTCCCGGTCTGCAGTGGTCAGTACCCTATCAAAAGTGCTCCAAGGAAGGAAAAGCAGTGAACCGGAGACAGGGTCATGGGGGGCCAAGGCTCACTGACGTGGGGAGTGAAGACTTGCCTGTTAGCTACTGTAGTTCAAACTGCTGAAAAAGTTAATGCTGGTTCTGATAGAAAGGTGCCCAGGTGGTCATAATGTTATGGCTGATCGGTGTGATGTCAGACATGTTATGCAATGCACAAAGTCACACAATGGATTTTATCATTTGTCATTTAGAGTAGAACTGTCTTGTTGCTCAGATTTCTTCCTACAGTTTAAAAACACACAGGTCAGGTGAATTGGCCACTACTGAATTGTCCATAGGTATCAGTGTGACTTATTATAGAATGACAGCTTGCCCTCAGTGCACCCTCCCTCTTGCCCATTGTATGCTGGTATAAGTTTCAACTCCTGGTTAAGTGATATAGAAAATCAATGGGGGATATTAAAGGATGTAATTGAGTTTCATGTAAATGACATGATAAGCTTTAGAAAGTGATTGCTTTGACATTATGTTAAAATGAAACGAGCCGGATGCCCATGTGCAATCAAACTGAAAAGTATTTCAGTCTTTCCATTTACCTGAATCCATTGCTTGGTGTTGTGTGTGAAAACAGGGTTGGCAATATATTTAATTTTAAGTCAGTATTTAACACTGATAGCATTCCTCTCACTTGGGACTTTTTCTGCTGCCAAGTGCACATTTACATGAAGCAGAGGAGCCAAAGGAAAAAAAATTGAATAATGGCTGAAAGTTATTACAATACAAAATGAATAACAACACTTGACATATAACCAGTTTAATCAGGAGTAAATTAAGGTCTTTGTACTTAAGGCCTTGATTGTTGTCAGTGATCTCTACATCACCCATAGAAAACTGCAGCATGCAATACAAATTAAATTCAGTTTAAACGTAAGTCAGCCCAAAAAAAGAGATTGCACTCTTTAAATGTTCCTGTCCCCTCTACTACAAGAGACTGAAATGTAGTGGAGTGGAAGTATAAAGTAAAACATCCACATAAAGTACAATAACCTCAAGATTGAGCTTAACTATACTATAGTAAATGTGCTTAGTTGCCACTGGCTACTGTATATGTCAGAGCGTTTAACCCCTTATGAGCAACCAGTGCAGGGTTGCTCTATGGTTCTGCCCACATGATTTACATCAGGACCCACAGACAACTTTATGATTCAAAAACCCAATCACTGGTGAGAGATAAGGGCAAAAACGACTCTCCTCCTACCTGAGATTATGATTATAGTGCAGAGATCTGGTTTCAGTTCAGTGTTCAACACAGCATTGCCAAGTTGAAGTCGCTCCTTGTTATCTTTTGTATTAGCTTTTGTGTCTTGTTTTCTTTTCTTCTTGTTTGTTGTTTTGGTCTCTATGACATATTGAAGATCTCAATCAGCCTGCTTGGTTGTTTTCCCGTAACTAACTGCAGAAATTTCTTGTTTGTTACATTATGAAGCAGAACACAGGCTCCACAGACAGGCTACCAAAAAACATGGAGGCATATGATACTCTACGTGTGTTCTGACAACCTCTGCACATCTTTATTCTGGAAAACAGACCGTTAACAGAGTATACTGGTAACAGACATCTTGCTGTCCTTGTTCAGTTATTCTACCTGTTTATTACACATCCTAGTGCCTCCTAATTACATGTTGTTAAATCCTGTTGATATTGTTGTTAGGCTGATATGCTGTTATCTGTGCCACAGTGGTTCGTTGTTGATAAACTTGGAGGTGATGGGCCATATTCTGACTTCCTGTGTTTTGAGGGCCACTCTGTATATTCAGACCTATCATTAATATCCTACTCTTCAGCCTTCATTTTTAATGCCTCATTTGTACAAAATTGTTCTTTTTGTTAAAAAAAATGCATATTTTATTCTTTATTTTGTATTGAATTTTCTATACAGTCATTACCACTTTTACAAAAGTATTTGGATGTTTTGTTTTGATATTCTCCTGTATCATGAATGAAAATGTAAGTTTTACCTGGATAAACAGTACAGTGAAAAAAAAGTATTATTTATAAACAAAAAATATACACATTGCTGAAATCATATTCAATTATTGTCAATGAAGTGCATGAATATGACTGAACCGAACATTTTTTAATTTGCCCTTTGTTTTGATGTATTATTTTTCAATGGGAGCTTCGATGATGTCATGTCCATACTGTATAGCTGTGCATATCCAAGTACTTTTTTAGATTATATGATCCAAACAAACACCTGCTTTCCAAGTGTGAAATATGTAAATTACTGCAGTGTAATTGACTTGATTTTAGTCGAATTCAGTTCCAATTTGCACCCTATACTCAGTTTAATACAAATAAAGCACAGCTTTGTAGCTGTATCTATCCACCTATCTATCTCTATATAAGTGTTTATGTGTATATATATCATATAGAACAGAACTTTTATTTTATTTTGATGAGTTGTACTTACTATGCTGTTTCATGTGGTTTTGTGTGAAAAGAGAGAGAACTGCTAGTTTCTCTCCCCCTCCCACCTCCACTCTCTTGTTTATTTTTCTCCCCCCTTTTCTGTCTGACATTGTTTTGAGTTATTTAATGCTAACCTCCTCCACCTACAAAGCACAATGAATTTACTCTTCCTCTCTTGTTTATTTGGTGTGCAATGATTCTTACTCAATGATGCCCTCTGGTGGAGAAATCTGTTGCTATGCCAATGTTAGAAGATGTTGCAAATGATCATCATAGGCAGGTACTGTATATTGTAACAATTTCATCTAGAATTTGATTGCCATATAAAATAAAAACCAGGGAACCCTGTTTGAATGTGGTAAATGACTTAATTTGTCCATAATACTTGGACATACAGGGATGTAAATGGGTCACAAGCATGTTGGCTTGCAGGATTCTCCAAGCAGTATTGACTGTAACTAAGTACACTTACTCATGTACTTTATCTAAGCATACATTTCAGGTACTTTACTTTATTTATATTTTATTACTTTATTTATATATGTACTTTATTGTTTTTACTTTGAGGCCACTCTATACTACATTTCAGTGTGAAATATATATATATGTTATTGTTTTATTTTTATTTTTGAAGTTTTTTGATAGTGACAACTGAAGAGTGACAGGAAAGGGGGGAAAGAAAGAGGGCATGACACACAGCAAAGGGCAGCAGGTCGAACTTGAACCCGCTGCACCAAGGACTCGTCCAAGGTCTTGGTACATGGGGCGCCAGATCTACCAGGTGAGCTATCCGCCCAAAATAGTAGTAGTTTTTACTTCACTACAGTTATTTGACAGCTATAGTTATTATTTAGTGTAATGTAAGATGTAAGATGTTGCATACAAAATTCCAGTTTATAAAATATGATTCATTGCTCTAGATTATGTTACCCACAAATATTAATAAAGTATCCTTAATAAATACTCATTACTAGTACTAAATTATAACTTTTTGTGTGCCAAACATATACTAAGACTGTAAATAAAGCCATTCATATGCCAACTTCTTTCTAACAAAACAACAAAAGGTTTTTTGATTCAAAACTCAAAGTACCATATTCTTTCAGAGTACTAAATATTAATGTTTTTGTGTAATAAGTACTTCCTACATAACCACTTAGTACTACTGAAGTACTTAGTACTTCACCATTTATTAGGGGACATCCTTAGTAAGGATATTTTCACCTAGTTTCCTAGTGCATTTCAGTGAACTTACTAGGTAATAACTTTGTACTTACTATCCTTTTCTCATGGGTACTTTTCTAATACCTATTGTCATCTAGTTTCCTGGTAGGTTTCCATGTATTTACTAAGCAAGCTTTATACTTATTAGCCAGTTCAGTACCTCATGGGTAGTTAGTAGAGTTAAGGGGTGTCTAATGTGGGTTTAAGATTTGTGTGTGTGTCCTGGAGAGGAAGAGGGGTGCCTCAAAAACATTCAATCCAACACACTGCACCAGTTTTCATTAAGCAGTGTCAGATGTGCCCTCTGGTGGATAACTTAAGAAATTGCAGCTGGCTGGAAAAGAATCACTAGTCAAAACTATTTCAGCACCATGGCCATGGACAGCTCCCAATGCGATGACCAACCAGTGAAGTGACAGGAGTTGATCATGTTCTGTGACAGAACAGAGATTTTGTACCTTTTATAAGCACAATTTCACCAATCACAACACTATGATTTCACTAAAATTTCACCAGCTGCGAAGTTTAAAAGAAACCGAAATAATCCTATTTGGATTGGTCTCCAGGTATAAGCATGGATTTGAGGTTTCTGAATATGTTTACTTTAATGAAATTAAAATAACTTTACAGGCATTCTTGTAGCAGAGAGTAAGAATAATCCTACAACTCTATATTAAGAACAGAGCTCTATTCCTCACTCATCTGAAAGTAAGCCATGCTGACCTAAAAACGACTGCCCCTTCAGCCGTCCCTATGGATCACCTTACCGCAGAGAAGGTTAGCCTGCTCCCCCTCATGCTCTCTACGGACACCCGTTTCCTTATTAACGGAATTATTTTCAATCTGAGCCATAGGACGACCTAATTATCCTGCTCATTTCTGGCCAGTGGCCAGCTCTCATCTGTTGATAGTATGAGCTAATTCCCTGAGAAGTAAGATGTAAAAGGGCACACAGAGAGAAGTCACAGGCCCCCTAGCTCACATCCAGGTGTGGCATTTGGAGCTGAGCCCCCCTTCCCTTGACGCCTTGTATTCGTGTTCGTGGTCTTAATTAAAGTGATATTTCGAGAGAGGAGGTTCTGTTTGTTCAGTTAATGAACCTCACTATTCTCTGCGGGCAAATGGAAATGCAAGCACTCCAATTAGCATATGTTAGCATTTTACTATGTTTATTC